ATACATAGAGGCCATGCCTACAGTGAGCGCACCACCATGGATCCATACCATCACCTGGGGAAGTAAAGAGAGAGGCCATGAGACTTCTGCCCAATCCAAACAGCACCTGGCCTTCTCATACACTATCCACTGCCTGGGCTCTACGTAACTACTGCACACGACTCTAGTAAAGACAACATATCTGAGGCATGAGAGACAGATCCACGTTTAATCAGGGCAACCAGGACTTTCTTACTTTTAGGTCAACCACATGAATCCAAGCCTGGATTTATTACTCTCATATTCCTTGGCAATGAAAAATAAGGAGGATTTTGTGATATTGTCCTGCATAAATACTGATAAAAATACTATTTCCTTGGGAAAACAGAAATACTACAGCTACGTTCTTGGTTGATTTCAAAGTGGAGCTCTTGGATACCAAGATATCTGATCTCTGGAACCAGTTAGAACTCTGACTTAATGCCTAGGGGGTCAGCTACCTAATCTGACTGAGAAGCACTCTCTGGTCTCAATAGCAGAAGGCTTCACAACAGGGTCCACACTGCAGTAGAACCAAGTTAATTATGTCCATTTGTATCATACTCTCCTTCACTTTTGTTTGATTTAGTGGTGTATGAACTTCAACCTAAAAATTTGTGCTTGACAGGCAAATGTCTATCACTAAGCCACATCTTTAGCCACCTTCTAATCTTGGAGAAGTAATGTCCCCTCTACCCAATCTCACCATGGTTACACACTCACAGGCAGGCTAGATCCCTCACGGGCGTGGGCAGGTGTGTAGATGTTGAGGTACAGGCAGTCTTCAGACATGGGGATAGGCAGCGGAGTCACATTAAACACCTTTATACCCTCGGTACTACTTAAGAAAGAAACCTGTGGACACCTGATGACAATGACACAAAGTTAATCCAAGCCTGTTGTAATCAAAACCACTGTGGCAACTCATCATGTCAGTTTGGTACAGTGCCTATAAAAGATGGATTCTCAACGGGGGTTAACGTTACTGCCCTCCTGAGATAAGGCTTTTATCTGTTGTGGGATCAGAGGTTCTTATGAGATTCACTGACTAATCTGAACCTCTTCCAGAGATCACTCCAATGTCATAGAACAGACAGCATAACTCAAAGCCAGAAATAAATGTGTCTCTGCCCCTTTCTTCACCACCTACTACCTTGAGGCTCCGAACCTCTAAACCAAGTCTCACATTGTTCCTCCACCTTCTGGAGCCCAGAATACTCAATATAGAGGAAACCGGCTGTACAATTGGGGTGAAAGTACCACTGCATTCCAGCTCTGAGCTCAGAGCTCCCAGTCCCTCCCAAGGGCCTGAGTTTCCACAGTTCCCCAGAGAGCTTACATAGCAGGGTGGGAGGAGGCATCCCTCACACCACTCCAGGGCTCAGCAGCTTCAGGGGGTGCAAACCGCAAAGGTCCTAGAGGTGGCTTGGCAAAAGGAATTCCCAGAAAAGTGTGGACCTCCAAATTGGTGCCCTTCACATGCACAAGGCTGCCCCGCA